AAGTGTCAAATATATATATATATATATATATATATATATATATATATATATATTGGAGAAATGACAGCCTTTTAAACAAATAGTGCTGGGAAAACTGGTTATCCATATGTAGAAGAATGAGACTAGACCGTTATCTCTCACCCTGCACAAAAATCAACTCAAAATGGATCTAAGACCTCAGAATTAGACCAGAAACTATGCAACTCCTAGTTGAAAATGTAGGATCAACACTCCAACAAATTGGTTTTAGGCAATGACTTTCCCGATAGGACCCCTAAAGCTCAGGAAATAATACCAAGAGCTAATAAATGGGACAGCATCAAATTAAAAAGCTTCCACATAGCAAAGGAAACAATTAAGAATGTAAAGAACCTACAGAATGAGAGAAAAATTTTGCTAGCTACTCTTTTGACTGAGGAATAACATCTAGAATATATTAAAAAAACTTAATGACAAAAAAACCCAATTTTAATAAATGGGTGAATGAATTAAACAGACACTTTTCAAAAGAATAAACACAAATGGCCAACAAATATATTTTAAAAAGGTTCAACATCATTAGCAATTAGGGAAATGCAAATCAAAACTACACTGAGATTTCATTGCACTCCAGTCAGAATAGTTCTCAAGAATACAATCAATAATAAATGCTGGAAGTGACCAGGGGGTGGGAGGCAGAGAGGGAGGAGGGAAGTGCTGAGGAATGTGATACTGATCAAATTATACTGTTATACTGTGTGCATGTATGAACAGGTAACAACAAATGTCATCATTATCTACAACTATAATGCATCAATAAAAAAGTGGAAAAAATAATAAATGTTGGCAAGTATGTGGAGGAAAATGAACATTTTTACACTGTTGGTGCGATTATAAATTAGTACAACCACTGTGGAAATCAGCATGGAGGTTCCTCAAAAGAGTAGACAGGGAACCACCATATGACCCAGCTATAACACTCCTCAGTATTTATTCTAAAGAATTAAAGTCATCATACTACAGTGATACATGTATACCCATGTTTATAGTAGCACAGTTCACAACAGCCAAACTATGGAACCAACCTAGGCATCCATCAATGAATGAATAGATGAAGAAAACATGGTATATACACACAATGGAGTTTTATTCAGCTTTAAAGAAAAATGAAATTATGTCATTTGCAGGAAAATATATGGAACTTGAGAACATTATGTTAAGCAAAATAAGTCAAACACGAAGATCAAGGGTCATATATGAAAGAGAAAAAGGAAATGGGGGGAATCAAAAGGGTGATAAGTAAAGGAAAGGGAACAGGGGATGGAAGGTAGAGAGGGAGGAGACAAATGCTAGAGAGTAATATTGGCCAAATTATGTTGTTATATTGTGTGCATGTACAATTATGTACTAATAAATCCCACCAATATGTACAACTATAATATACAAATTAAAAATGTGGAAAAAACAAAAATAACTGGGGATGTAGCTTAATGATAAAATCACCCTTAGTGGGCTGGGGTTGTGGCTCAGTGGTAGAGCAAGTGCTACCACTAGCATGTGCGAGGCACTGGGTTCAATCCTCGGCACTACATAAAAATAAGTAATATAAAGGCATAAAAATAATGTTGTAAAAAAAAAAATGGCCCTTGGGTCCAATTTCCAATACAAGGGGAAAAAAAAAAAAGGAATTTTGACCAAACAAGAAGATGGACCCTTGGGAGGCTGAGGCAAGAGGAGTACAAGTTTGAGGCCAGCTCAGTAATTTAGTATGACCCTGTTTCAAAATAAAATTTAAGCAATAGGAATGTAGCAGTGGTAAAGTGCTCAGAGGTTCAATCCCTAGACTAAAAGAAAAAGAAAAAGAAAAATGGAGAGCCAGGTGTGGTAACACATGCCTGTAATTCCAGGAACTCAGGAGGCTGAGGCAAAAGGATCAAAAGTTTGAGGCCAACCTCAGTAATTTAGCGTGCCGCTGTCTCAAAATAAAAAATAAAAAAGGTCTGGGGATGTAGCTTAAGGGTAAGCAACCCTAGGTTCAATCACTGGTATGAAAAAAGGAAGGAAGAACATGGAAAGTAGATGTTTAAAAAGAAAAGAAAAAGTGGAATGGGGCTGTATCTAAGTGGTAGAGCACTTGCCTGGCAGGTGTGAGGCCTTGGGTTTGATCCTCAGCACAAATAAATAAATAAATTTTATTTCTTTATTTTTATATGGTGCTGAGGATCAAACCCAGCGCCTCGCACGTGCTAGGCGAGCGCTCTACAGCTGAGCCAAAACTCCAGCCCCGAGTTACATACTTTTTAAAAACAGAATACCTCACAGGTCTTTGCAACCCCTCGTGGAGCAGATTGTGTATGGAAAAACAGTAAAAGCACGGAGAACTCAAGAGTGGAAGTAGGTGGGCTGGATCCTCACCAGCAAGAAGAGCACAAGGGTCAACCTAGAACATCTGGATATCCTTTGGAAGCCTTGATGTTCAGACAAGAATGGATTCTATGCACACAGCAAGATATTTCTGTTTCTTACAATTATTTCAGGAACCAAGTCCACAAAAGGGATTTTTGTCAAATAGAATCCCCCAAATTGTAGCAGTTCTTTTTTAATTACATAAAGGCAAGTAGTGGGCTGTCAGATCTTTCCTGCTTCCAAAATTTTATTCCCACCCCACCTACCACCACCCTAGGTACTCTGCATAGAACCCAGAGGCAATCTACCTCTAAGCTACATCCCTGCCTTTTTGTCTGTTTGTTTATTATGTTTTTGGTACCAGAGATTGAACCCAAGGACACTTAACTGCTGAGCCACATCCCCAGGACCCCCCTCCCATTTTTTTGTATTTTATTTAGAGACAGGGTCTCACTGAGTTGCTTAGGGCCTCGCTAAGTTCCTGAGGCTGGCTTTGAACTTGTGATCCTCCTACCTCAGCCTCCCAAATCGCTGAGATTACAGGCATGCACCACTGCACCCGGCTTCTATTTTTTTTTTTTTTTTTTCGGCTTCTATTTTTTGAGACACGATCTCACTAAGTTGCTTAGGGCCTTACAAATTTGCTGAGGCTGACCTTGAACTTCTGATCCTCCTACCTCAGTATCCCAAGTAGCTAAGATTACATGTGTGCACTGTGGCACTTGGTCCTACTTTCAAACTTTTAAAACTATTAATTGAAAATGAATCTGAAAATTTGATTTAAAAGACTCACCTAGCTGAGCACAGTGGTGCACACCTGTAATCCCAGCAACTCGGGAGGCTGAGGCATGAGGATCACAAGTTCAAAGCCAGCCTCAACAAATTAGGGAGGCCCAAAGT